TTGCTTATAGAGGAAGAACTTCTTGAGTTTTTTTTTTATCTCCCCTTGTGGAAACTCCCATTATGTGTGTTGGATAAACCCAGTCCGCTGTTTATTTACGTCCTGGGGGAACCAAGAAAATCTGGTTAACCAAATTAAGTACATTGTACGAAGAGCTCATCCATTGGGGGTAGTTTACTAAGCGGACCCCCTGCATGTTGTTATTAAAAGCACGAATTAATAGAATTGCGAGAGAAGCTGGGATGTTTATGGAGGAAAAGCTGCCATTTAGACTTCGACTTCGGCTAACTTTATTGTCACTTTAAATCTACACTGATCGGCATACATGGAAATGAAATTTCGTTGCATTTTTTCAACCTGGCGCCCTTTGTTGGCTTAGGACACCGTTCTGAGGTTGGGACGTTAAGTGGCTGCCCTCACTAATGGGAGGGGGGTGCATTAGCAAACCGTCTTTCAGACTCTCCAAATATTGCAGAAAAGAAAGTGAAATAGGAGCCGAATATAAAACCAAACTGCATCTTCAAGATCTCGGAAGAGCAACCGCAGATGTTTGTGTGCAAGGATGTTCAGAGATGAGTGGTTTTTTTTTCAGACCTAGTGAGTAAGCCAGTTTGCAATTGCTAAGATTGAACCGGTCCAACTGTTTTCAGCCTGTTTTCCCGATCCAGGAAACTGAGGCTGTGACTTCTCAAATCCTCAGCCGGCACCGGGTAGAAGGATAAACTCCTGGGTTACCGTTCAGGAGGCGAAAAGATTTGAAGAAGGACCAAGCATTCTGGAATCCCTTTGTTTATATTTTTTTAAATCTCTTCTTGGCCGGCTTAAGAGTGTTAAATTATAATTGGATGTGCTATTATTATAACGCTTATAATTAGGCCCCCGGTGTTAACAGTTACAGACAAAGATTGTAACAACAATTTTTGAGTAGGCGTTTTTGAAACTTTCTAACCAATCAAGCTGTTTCGTTGCATCAGGCTGTATGCAACGAAATTTCGTTTTAATGTATTCCGATTAGCTAGTGTACATTCAAAGTGACAATAAAGTCTCTTCTCTTCTCTTCTCTTCTCTTCTCTTCTCTTCTCTTCTCTTCTCTTCTCTTCTCCTCTCCCTCTCCCTCTCCCTCTCCCTCTCCCTCTCCCTCTCCCTCTCCCTCTCCCTCTCCCTCTCCCTCCACCTCCACCTCCACCTCCACCTCCACCTCCACCTCCACCTCCACCTCCACCTCTATCCTACTCTACTCTACTCTTGTAGCAAAACCAGCAAAATCTGGCAGGATCTAAGAACCCCCCAAACTGTTGAGCAGACTCAGCTGTTGCACACTTCAGAGACTGGCAGCTTTCCAAACATGTTGATCAATGACTCAGCAGCCGGGGATGATGGGGTTTGTTTAGTAGTTTCCTCTTAAGGCTCCTGTAGATGCCTTGCTTTTTTGCTAGACCTTGGAATGTGCTTTGTCTATCTGGGCAGGTTTCTCTGACGGTTACAGGCTGGTGGTTTTGCGTGGAAACAAACCACTGTCCTCAACTCACAACCACCATTGAGCCCAAAGTTTCCGTTGCTAAGCAAGACAGTTGCTAAGTGAATGTTGGCCCATTTTACGGCCTTTCTTGCCACAGTTGTTAAGTGAATCACTGCAGTTCTTCAGTGAGCAACGCAATTGTTAAACGAATTTGGATTCTCCAGTGAAGGTCGCAAAAGGGGAGTGTGTGATCCCGGGGTACTGCAACCGTCATAAGTACATGCGTCTGAATTTTGATCACGTGACCATGGGGATGCTGCCGTGGTCATAAGTGTGACAAACATAAGTCACTTTTTCCAGTGCCATTGTAACTTTGAAAAGTCATGGCATAGACGGATGTAACCTGAGGACTATCTGGTCATCAGGAAAGGTTGAGAAAACTTCTCCGACGTCGTGCAGATTCAAGTCACTCAAAGTTTGCTTGGATGCAGTTGGATACCAAGAGAAACTTTGCTCAATCCTGTCCCAAATCTACCTTGACAAGAAGAGACCCGCTGAGAATTTTCCAGACTTTTTCCGGAAGTGAAAGGAATGGGAGCTTGGGAACGCAAGGTGGATGGCCAACCAACAAGACGGACACTTTCCTAAAGTTGAGTTAGCAGCAGTTTAGGAAAGTTGTCCCAAACACTTTGGAGGTTGTGTGAGGTGCCCATTCACAAATCTCTCCCCTATGTTCAATGCCAAGCTTTTTCTATCCGTCTAGTCTGTCTTTCTCTTCTCCTGAAGGCCTTCCTTTTGGACCTGACACAGGAAGTTGGTGGCTAAATATAGTAGTGGAAGCTAAAACATATGAAGAACGGTTGCTGGAACTGGGTATCTCTAGTTTAATGAAGAGAAGGACTAGGGGAGACATGATAACAGTCTTCTAGTATCTCAGGGGCTGCCCCAAAGAAGAGGGAGCCAAGCTATTCTCCAAAGCACCCAGAAGGCAGGACAAGAAGCAATGGGTGGAAAGTCATCAAGGAGAGAAGCAACTTAGAACTAAAGAGAAATTTCCTCTCAATTGATCAGTGGAACAATTTGCCTTTAGAAGTTGTGAATGCTCCAACACGGGATATTTTAAAGAAGAGATTGGATAACCATTTGTCTAAAATGGTATAGGGTTTGTTGCCAAAGCAGGGGGTTGGACTAGAAGACCTCCAAGGTCCCTTCCAACTCTGTTATTCTATTCTAATCTTGGTTATCTCCACTTTTGAGAAAAGTTAAAAGAAGAGATGAGTTTCTATTTCTGGTGCCTTGTCTAAGGGGTCAGATCCAGGCTGTTTTATCTTGGGCTGAGCAGCAGAGGGATTCAGCCTTCCAGATTTCAGGGCTAAGTCAATGCCAGCTGCTTTGGCTACAAAATCCATTCCCGAAACTGGCAGCTCTCATTTTTGAGAAGAATTCAAAACAATTTAAGAAAAGAGTCATCGCTCCATGTTCTTAGACGGCACGTTACTTGAAGCCCACTTTTTTTTGGTGGTCAAATATTTTTTGCAATCTCCCGAGGCTCTGCAAATGCGTTGAATTTATTGGTTCTTTTATCGGTCCTTAAAACCAGTCTGATTTCTAAGACGATGGGGAATACCGTCAAACTCCATGAGAAGGTGCTGAGTTGGAGGGAAGCTTTGAAGAAGAAAAGTCCAAGCATATCCAGACTCTCTCTCTCTCTCTCTTTTAAATAGTCTTTATTCAACCTTTTTTAGTTTTAAAAGCACATTTCCATTTTTACAGCTTTCAACTATCGGTAACAATTCAAATTTCATAATTCCAATCTATGGCCTATTATTTCATACATTATGTACATCTTCAAATATATAGTATCTTTTACTATATTCTATTTTTGCTCTTCATTAACATCGATTTAATCTATTCTTCATATATGCAGTATATCTATATGTAGTTACATATTCCTTTTATCCTTTAACACGTTTTGTCATATTTATGATAAATATGATAAATATGCATATGCTCTTCTCTGCACTTTTTCTAGAGTCTCAACATCTTTTTGATAGCGTGGGAACCAAAACTGGATGCAGCATTCTAGGTGGGGTCTTACTCAGCGGTGGGATCCAAATAATTTAACAACCGGTTCTCTGCTCTAATGACCAGCTGGGTAGGCGTGGCTCGGTGGCCATGTGACCGTGTGGGCATGGCCAACCCAACGTCACTCACGTCGATGGGCGCTTCGCCTTAGCTGTTACAATGTAATAAGGGTTAACTGGAGAGGCAGTTTCTGTAAGCAGGGCAATAAAGATTAGGCTAGAAATACCACCAGAATGTTTCCTTTCTGCCTTCCTTACAGGATTAGCCCTGTAAAGTGGAAAAAAACAAAACAAGATTTCTTCTAATGACCAGTTCTCCGAACTGCTTAGAAAGTTAACAACCGGTTTTCCCGAATAGGTGCGAACTGGCTGAATCCCATCACTGGTTTTACTAAGGCTTTATAGAGTGGTATTAGTACCTCCCTTGATCTTGATTGTATTCCTCTGTTAATGCAATTTAGGATTGCATTGACCTTTTTGGCTGCCGCCGCACACTTTTAGCTCATGTTTAATTGGTTGTCCACGAAGACTCCTATTCTTGCTCAACCTAAGTAAATAATAAACTTGAGGTGTCAAGTTAGAACATTGGATGTTCCACGTTTCCGTACATTGATTAGGATGAGGTTCCTTGTCAAAAGATGACTTTGCAAGTGGAAGAGTGCCAGACAAATTTTATGAAGATGTTGACAAGATACAGGGGAAAGCCAAAGGAAAAGAATGGTGAAAATTTAACCGGTGTTGGGTTTCCTCCAAAGCGCGTGTGGCCAGATGCACGAAAGGAACGTGGGAGGACCTTGCAAACATTCAATCTCGGCCCCTGTAGCAATATTGACTTCAGAGTTTTCAGAACTGACATGACAGGTTCGCTCTGCTTTTTATTTTTTTTTTAGAGGCATCTGCTGCAGTTTAACCAGCTTTAAAATGATTAAAAAAAGTTCGACAAACGGCTTTGAAATTTTGTCAGACTGTGACTTGATTGATTGGCAGTCTAGATTTATTTATTTACTTACTTACTTGAGAGAATTTATTGGGCCACCCACTCAGTCTCGGTGATTTTGGCTGGCTTACAAAAATTTTTTTTTCCAAAAAATATGCAAACTATAAACAATAAGCACCCACATCCCTCACAACAACTATCAGATAAGCCCCTTGATAGACTCCATTCCACTCCGGGTTCCCCAGGCCTGATGGCAAAAGCAGATCTTTAGAGACGTTTCAAAGATTGACAAACCAAGGGCGCACGCGGCCCCATTGCAAACCGGTAGTAAAGGTAAGTAGAACCCACCCCTGGGCTCAACACACACACACATGGACAGATAGAGGAACAATCAGTTAAGTAAACCTGCGGTTGGATCTTGGCATGAGATAATTAAGCTTCATCTTAAAAAAAAAATCCTTGGAAGATTTGGGTCTTGCTCGTTTAATCGGCTAACCGTTTCTTTCCTTTGCTCTCCCAGGCTGATGCTGCAACCAGCTTCCTCCGAGCAGCACGATCAGGGAATCTGGACAAAGCTCTAGACCAACTAAGGAATGGTGTGGATATTAATACCTGCAACCAGGTAGGTCTTCCGTTGACTTGCACCGAACTGGTCTAGGCCGCTCAGTGGAGATCTGCGTTTGGTCCTTCAAGGAACTCGGAATTGGCTTTGGTTCTCATCTACGAAGCATGTGTTGAGTCAGAATCAGTAGTGGGTTGCTACTGGTTCGCCTCGGATCGGGCAAATCGGTAGCAGCGGTGGTGGTGGGAGTGTCGTGCGTGCGTGGCCACGAACGAACCAGTAGCGAATGAAATTGAAACCCACTACTAGGCCAGGATGCTAATAGCAATAGCACTTAGACGTAAATATTGCTTCGTACTACTGCTTTACTGCCCTTCCTAAGCGGTTTACAGAGTCGGCCTCTTGCCCCCAACCATCCGGGTTCCTCATTTTACCGACCTCGGAAACATGGAAGGCTGAGTCAACCTCGAGCCGGTCAGAATCAAACTCCTGGCAGTGGGCGCAGAGTTAGCTTGTAATACTGCATTCTAACCACTGCATCATCAGTCGCTCGGGATTGCAGGACTATAGAATAGCGCTCTCATTGGTAAAAGCTACGGCTTCCTAGTATTTTATCACGTGAGACATTTCCTCCCATAAATTTCATTTTTTTTTTTTGCACTGGGTACCAGAAGGAATTTTGTTTCTCAGAGATGCCAGAAGAATTTTTGTTGAGCCTGGAGCGAGTGCTCATTCCTTATTCTTCATAGCACATTGATAAACTTGTAGTTTTGGGGAGGTTTCAGTTTGGGGGGACAGCAAAAAGAGCCCATTGTCTGCTCCAAGTTGAGAATATCTTTTTTGTAGATGGGGCCCGCACTGAAATTATACCAGCTAATCGGGACTCAAAGAGGGTATGGTATCGCCAGCCATTGTTTTATTTTTTTAATATGATGGAGAAAAGCATTAAATTCAGACTGAGGAGTTCGATTGATTATATATTTAATTATCCCATTTATTTATTTATTATACACTCATGTATACTTCACGGGTCAAAAAGAGGGCTGTGAAAATATCTACAGATCCCTCGCATCCTGGACATCAACTGTTTCAACTCCTACCCTCAAAATAACATTATAGAGCACTGCACACCAGAACAACTAGACACAAGGACAGTTTTTTCCCTAACGCCATCACTCTGCTAAACAAATAATTCCCTCAACACTGTCAAACTATTCACTAAGTCTGCACTACTATTAATCTTCTCATCGTTCCTATCACCCACCTCCTCCCACTTATGACTGCATGACTGTAACCTTGTTGCTGGTATCCTTACGATTTATATTGACTGTTTCCCTATGACTATCATTAAGTGTTGTACCTTACGATTCTTGACGAATTATCTTTTCTTTTATGTACACTGAGAGCGTATGCACCAAAGACAAATTCCTTGTGTGTCCAATCACACTTGGCCAATAAAGAATTCTATTCTATTCTATTTCTCTTCTGAATTCGTCCATTTTAGGATTTAGTTCACTTCTGTCTATCAGTTCCTTCACCTGGTCCTGCCTGGAGTCCGTCCTCACTCCCCCCTGAGTTCTGTCTATGTTGCTCTCAAATCATTTCAAGAGAATGGCTAATTCTTCTATTCATTTCCTTTTCATGGACATCGTTCTAATATCTAAAAAAACTACAGCTTAGAACCTCACAATCTGAATGGAGTCTTCCAAATTTCAATTTTTTTTCGATTTTGTTACGATTTCATATATGAAAGTCTCCATAAATTATTGGTTGATTCAATGCCATCCAGTTATTTTTCAACTCCTGGTGACCACCTAGATAAAATGTTCTCCATGATGAAATGTGGTCTTCCAGTAATCCATCTATCACCACTATAACTGAGTCCATCTCCCATGTTGCTTGTCTCCTTCTTCTTTTCTTTCTTTCTACATTTCCCTGCGTTAGAGCCTTCTCTAGAGAGCTAAATATTTGCATAATGTGTCTGAAGTAGGATAATTTGAGCCTCGTCCCTTAGGGGAGAACTCTGGATTGCTTAATCAATAATCCATCAGTTTGTTTTCTTAGCTGCCCAAGGTCTTCTCAGGAGTCTTACAGAATCATATACCCTGTTTCCCCAAAAATAAGACATCCCTTGATAGTAAGCCAAATCGGGCTTTTGAGCACATGTGCTAAAATAAGCCCTTCTCTGAAAATAAACCCTCTATCTATCTATCCATCTATCCATCTATCCATCTATCCATCTATCCATCTATCCATCTATCCATCTATCCATCTATCCGCCTGCCTGCCTGCCTGCCTGCCTGCCTGCCTGCCTGCCTGCCTGCCTGCCTGCCTGCCTGCCTGCCTATCTATCTATCTATCTATCTATCTATCTATCTATCTATCTATCTATCTATCTATCTATCATCTACCCTGTTTCCCTGAAAATAAGACCTCCCTGGATAATAAGCCCAATCAGGCTTTTGAGCGCGTGTGCTAAAATAAGCCCTCCCCGAAAATATTTAAACCCATGTGCAGGTGGTCCCTACCATTTTCTATGGTTAGGGTTGGGGAGACAGAGCTGGAAATCAGGTAACAGTGCAAGAGGAGCCCCATCTTGCCCCACGTGCCCCAAAATAATAAGACCTCCCCGAAAATAAGGCCAAGAACTTATTTCAGGGTTCAAAAAAATATAAGGCAGGGTCTTATTTTCAGGGAAACATGGTAGTTGGAAGGGACCTTGGAGGTTTTCTAGTCCAACTCAAGCAGGAGATCCTTTACCATTTCAGACCCGTCTCTTCTTAAAAGCCTCCAGGGATGGAGCACCCACAGGTTCTGAAGGCAAAGCTGTTCCACTGATTTATTGTCCTCACTGTTAGGAAGTTTCTCCTTAATTCCATGTTGCTTCTCTCTTTGATTAGTTTCCATCCATTGTTTCTTGTCCTGCCCTTCTGGTGTCTTCTGGAGAATAGGTTGAGCCCCTCTTCTTGGTGGCAGCCAATATTTCCAAATATTGGAAAACACTACTATCGCCAAAGCTCAAAGGCATTATTACTCTTCCAAGCCTTCTCCTTCAATGTTCATTTCCATAGAGTGTTACCCTGAAAATTAAGCCCTCCTGTTTAACTTACATGACCCTCATTCATTAAGATGTGATGTAGTGTATGTGTATGTCCTGCTCAAAGAGGACCCTTCCCTGTTCATCATAAGCCGATGATGCATTTTGGCAGCATCCTTGCCAAGTTCACTTGTTCCACAGCCTTTTCTCTTTTAAAAGGTAAAGGTAAAGGTTCCCCTTGCATATATGTGCTAGTCATTCCTGACTCTAGGGGGCGGTGCTCATCTCCGTTTCAAAGCCGAGGAGCCAGCGCTGTCCGAAGACGTCTCCGTGGTCATGTGGCCGGCATGACTCAACGCCAAAGGCGCACAGAACGCTGTTACCTTCCCACCAAAGGTGGTCCCTATTTTTTTACTTGCGTTTTTTTACGTGCTTTCGAACTGAACTGCAGAAGGTGGGACAAGTAACGGGAGTGTTTTCTTTTCTGTGGGAAACGGGTCCAAATGTCTCTTTGAGTGTTTAAGGTTGCAGGCCCCTCAACTAGACATACCCATCCCTGCAACCGTTCTTCATATGATTTAGCTGCAATCCTTAAAATCATTTGGGTTGCCTTGAATTCTTCCAAGCTTCCCATCGTCTTCTTGAGAAGGTGGCCTCCATGAATTGGTCTTGCCCCTTTGGAACCCTTTAATCTGGGCCCCATCGCCTCCATCTCACTGGAACCAGGGACTTTCATCCTTCAACTGAGTGTTGCTGAAAGAACTGCAGAGTAATGGAGAAACCACAGCTTCTCCAATCGGGAGAAGAAACATAGAAGAAGGACAGAGCCCGTGTCCTTGTAGGCCTTCTTTTGTATTCAGTGCTGGTGCTGCTGATAAGTGGAGCTGGAGGTGGGGGAATGCCTTTGCCATCAGACAGTGACTCACCTTGCTCATCCCAATGCAGAGTAGGAAACACTGGAGTCACCAAGGAGTGGGTGGCCAGTCAAAGTAACAGCCTTTTAATTCCTTTTCCTGTTGAGCCCATTGAGGTTCTCAGCTGAAAACAGTCAACCTGGGATGAGAAGTAGCTGGAGCAAACAAAGACAGGTGGACAAGAGCAGGCCACCTGTTCAGGTTTCATTCCACAGGAGGCTTCCCAGACCACCTACGCCTTGGGGGCAGAATTGGTAATACAACTGTAGCATGTGCTAGCTTGCTAAATCTTGGTTTTCTCAAAGATGCTTTTTCAGGAGGCAACTGGACTTTCTGGTTTTTTTCGTTTGAAGACGTTTCGCTTCTCATCCAAGAAGCTTCTTCAGCTCTGACAGGATAGTGGGGAATGGAAAGATTGATACTCCTTGCAGACAGCTGATCATTTGCATCTTTTTAGAGGGTCGTTGAAGCACTTGGAGGTTTATCTGTGTCCTCAGTGTCACCTGTGTTAAGGATATTGTTGTGTTACCAACCAGCAGAGTGTAGAGCACAGAGAAACGTTGCTGAGAGCGATGAATAAGAGATGTGCAAACTGGTTTATCAAAAGTTTACTTTATAGTGAAAAAAACAATCTCATAGTCTTTAAATCAATCCAAGTCTTTGCCAGTTAAATCAGTCCAGTGATACAAAAATCTTCGCACAAACAGTGGTTGGTTAGAATAACAAACTCACTCTGGTTCACAAACCACGATGATAACAGATCCATCCAACTGATGAGAGCACAATGGTTGCAACTCCACACACAATGGTAGCTTATCATCAACTGAATACTTTGCAGTACCTTTCTTAAATACGTTCACAACTAATTACAGCATGACTCAGCATTACAATGAATCAGCAGGAAAACTTTAAAAGTCACACAATACATATTCATATTAAGGTCACAGAACACATATATTGCCTGGACAACTTGGTAGGCTCAAACCATATCCTAACAACCTGAGTAGTGCAAATGGTTCCTGTAGTCTGCAATTTTTCCTCTGGAAATCCATTCCACCTCCCACACCTTCTAAAAGGATGCAAATGACCAGCTGTCTGCAAGGAATATA